CTATTAGCCAGGGGATAAAATGGTGTCCTTGGCCTCTGTCTGTCAGAGGCTGGAGAGGGAGGACAGGAGACAAATCACTTGATCATTGTCTTCGGTCCACCCTCTCTGGGGCACCTGGTGCTGGCCACTGTCAGCAGACTGGATACTGGGCTAGACGGACCTTTGGTCTGACCCAGTACGGCTATTCTTTAGTGAGTGACTTCTTCCCATTCCAAGTGCAATGCGATCTTTTATTTCTTACTGTGCTCCCATCCTCCTCCACTTTGTCACCACCTGCCTCAAAACCTCCTTTCCTCCTCTTCTGTCACTGCCTGTGTGCATGACTTATTCTTCTCCCGGCAATGCTGCTGGAACCTTTTTTAGGGTGGGGGTGCTGAGCTCTGCCTCCCTCTTCTCCCGTTTTTGCACCCCTCTCAGCCCCAGGCAGGGGTCACAGCTAGAGCTGCCAACTCTCCTGGAGCAGACGGACTGGATGCAATTGCCACTAACGGCATCGAGTCCGAGCAAGTTTGCAACCCAGCCACAGCTTGCGGTGGTTGCAGAGCCCATGGCCACTGGTTGGACCCCACAGACAGTAAGCTTCAGAACCTGTGGGGATGGCAGTTGGCAGGACTCCAAGGGGAGCTGAAGCTGGCACAGCCAGCAATACCCCCGAGGGGCCATCTGAAGGCTGGAACAGGGGGCTGTTGGGAACCCAGAGCTGGCAGCAGGGCTGTCCCCTGGGCGCAGGCAAGCCTTGTAGAAAACCTGGGGGTGCTGCAGCACCCCCGACACTCCTCCCTCCTGTGCCTGTGTTTCCCTGTGTGTTGGGCCAACCCCCACAGATGTCATAAATTACAGAAATCTTGTATCCTTCCATTTTAAACAATTATTCATAATTCCAGGTCTTCCAACGTGTCCTGTGTCTCTGAAACTATAGGCTTTTCAGGGCAGAGAATCACTTGCTATTTATGTCTTATATTGCACCAAGCATAGTCAGCACCTATCCTACCAGTCATTAGCCTCTTCCTTGATCCTTATTCACAACATGAAGATAGCAAATAGTTCAGCATCTTCCTACACAAAGAACAAGTTAAAAGTCACTTAGGAAAGTTAGATGTCAGCAAGTCACCAGGTCCTGATGAAATGCATCCCAGGATACTCAAGGAGCTGATAGAGGAGGTATCTGAGCCTTTAGCTATGATCTTTGAAAAATCATGGCAGACAGGGGAGATTCCAGAAGACTGGAAAAGGGCAAATATTGTGCCCATCTATAAAAAGGGGAATAAGAACAACCCAGGAAACTACAGACCGGTCAGTTTAACGTCTGTCCCAGGGAAGATAATGGAGCAGGTAATTAAGGAAATCATATGCAAACACTTGGAAGGTAATAAAGTGATAGGGAATAGCCAGCATGGGTTTGTGAAGAACAAGTCATGCCAAACTAATCAGATAGCTTTCTTTGATAGGATAACGAGCCTTGTGGATAAGGGAGAAGCGGTGGATGTCATATACCTAGACTTTAGTAAGGCATTTGATACGGTCTCGCATGATATTCTTATTGATAAACTAGGCAAATATAACTTAGATAGGGCCACGATAAGGTGGGTGCATAATTGGCTGGATAACCGTAGTCAGAGAGTTGTTGTTAACGGTGCTAAATCCTGCTGGAAAGGGATAACAAGTGGAGTTCCGCAAGGGTCTGTTTTGGGACCCGTACTATTCAATATCTTCATCAATGATGTAGATATTGGGATAGAGAGTACGCTTATTAAGTTTGCAGATGATACCAAACTGGGTGGGGTTGCAACTTCTTTGGAGGATAGGGACATAATTCAAAATGACCTTAGCAAGTTAGAGAAATGGTCAGAGGTAAACAGGATGAGGTTTAATAAAGAGAAATGCAAAGTGCTCCACTTAGGAAGGAACAATCAGTTCCATACATACAAGATGGGAAGCGACTGTCTAGGAAGGAGCATGGCAGAAAGGGATCTAGGGGTCATAGTGGACCACAAGTTGAATATGAGTCAACAGTGTGATGCTGTTGCAAAAAAAGCAAATATGATTCTAGGTTGTATCAACAGGTGTGTTGTAAGCAAAACTCGTGAAGTCATTCTGCCGCTCTACTCTGCACTAGTTAGGCCTCAGCTGGAGTACTGTGTCCAGTTCTGGGCGCCACATTTCAAGAAAGATGTGGAGAAATTGGAAAGGGTACAGAGAAGAGCAACAAGAATGATTAAAGGTTTAGAGAACATGACCTATGAAGCCAGGCTTCATGAACTGGGCTTGTTTAGTTTGGAAAAAAGAAGATTAAGGGGGGACATGATAGCGGTTTTCAAATATCTAAAAGGGTGTCACAAGGAGGAAGGAGAAAATTTGTTCCTCTTGGTTTCTGAGGACAGGACAAGGAGTAATGGGCTTAAAGTGCAGCAGGGGAGGTTTAGATTGGACATTAGGAAAAAATTCCTAACTGTCAGGGTGGTCAAATATTGGAATAAATTGCCAAGGGAGGTGGTGGAATCTCCCTCTCTGGAGATATTTAAGAACAGGTTAGATAGACATCTGTCAGGGATGGTGTAGACAGAGCTTGATCCTGCCTTGAGGGCGGGGGGCTGGACTCGATGACCTCTTGAGGTCCCTTCCAGTCCTATTATTCTATGATTCTATGATTCCTACTGGGACATCTTTGGGACACCTCGATGCATATGTCTACTGTGTAATTATTCCATAATTACGATTAAGAGTGTATAAGTGCAATCTGATTTTTGATAGGTGTTTGGCTGAAGGAGCTGGAGATGTTGCTTTCGTGAAGCACAGCACAGTGTCTGAAAACACAGATGGTAAGTAATGCAAAGTGTCATCTCTCATTTGAAAGTCTAGCTGTAGTCTCTAAAGTGTTGCTAATCTGCTGACCCCAAACATAAGAGCAAATTCATATGTTCAGAATTTATCTGATGCCAGAAATAAAGGTGAAATGAAGCAAGAACACCTTGTGAACACAAGAAAAAGAAATATGTCCCCAGAATAGCCTTTTTTAAATCAACTGGTGATTTTAGCAAAAAGTGAAGAGACACATGTAATTGCTGTCTGAAAGCAGAGATTTACCTGAACCAAAATCCTGGCTCCAAACCATCCTGGGCTTTGAACTGTTTTAAAAGTTGGATACAAATAATAGTGGATTATGCTCCTCTCTGTTGAGGAATCTCAGCAGAAACAGGCAGAAAGGAGCTTGTTTATGGCACCACTAATCAATGCCACCTCCCCTATACCCATGGCACCTATGTACTAGACCTGTGAGTACATGCCACTCAGATATCAGGACCCCACTTTTCAAGTCTAGGGGAGCACTGTTTATTAGAGGGCACCTGGATTTTAGGACCGTCTCAGCACAGCTATGGTCCCCAGCTTAATTCCAAGCTGCCTGAATGCTGTTCTGCTTTATGTTCTGCTGCCAACAATCTCATAGGGCTACATCTGAAGTGAAAGGAATAGCTTCAACAAGAATATCTTTCCCCCACCATGCATTAAGAAATACAAGGTAACTGGGGCTCATGTGATTAGGTGCCTTCAAAATAGTGTGGTTGGATGGGCAATGCAGAGTCAGACAGAAGCATCAGCAGCTCTCAGTGTATTTTGAAAGCCATTTCATGACTATTCTCTATTTGATTTCAGGCCAGACTCCTTCCTCATGGGCACAAGAGCTTCGCTCCAGGGACTTCCAGCTTCTCTGTCGTGATGGCAGCACAGCTGAGATTACAGACTGGAGGAAATGCCACCTGGCCCGAGTCCCAGCTCACGCTGTTGTTGTCAGACCTGACACTGATGGGTCACTCATCTTCCAGATGCTTAAGCAGGGGCAGGTGGATATATTTTTTGTCGTCTGTTGTACTGGCTTTTAAAGTTGTCCCCTCCCACCTGGCTTGATCCTGTGGGATGCTCAGAAGCTTCAGCTGAGTGGGAATTAAATGAGAGTGGAGGCCACTCAAAATCTGGGAAGATCAGGCCCAGAGATGGATGGGGCTTGTGGTCTCTCAACACTTTCTTTGCCCCTAAATAACAAGAGACATTGAACAAGACTTGAACTTCTTGAAGGGCAGTTGTTCGTGCCTTGTGAAGGTACAAGTGAGAGAGTGCCCTAAATGCCAAGATTCCCAATTATGTGGATCTTTTCATCCCTGTCTTAAACATGACATAGACTGTAGCCTGATGGACACCTACAACTTAGTTTGAGCCTGCAATTCACTCAGGACTGTGTAAAAATTCATACCCTGAGCATGGTAATTAGAACAACCTAACCATGGGTGTAGAAGTGGCTATATTGATGAAAAGACTCTTCCATCAACTGGACTACTGCCTCTCAGAGATCTGGACAACTTGCATCAGTGGAAAAGCCCCTTCTATGGATGTAGGAACCATCTACTCCATGGCACCACACTGGCATAGCAGCAGCCCTCTAGCTGCATTGCAGTAGCATAGACATAGGTCCTGTCTACAACACAAAGATTGAATCAGCATAGCCATGTTGGTTTACCAATGCTGGCATAACCCATCATGGACCTGCAGCCAATGCCAACTGAAGAGGCTTTTCCATCACTGTGGACATGTCACCTCCCTGAAGGGCAGTAAGCAGATCAATGGAAGCATTGCCAGTCAACAAAGCTACATTTCCACTGAGGGTTTGTCGTCAGTCAAGGGTGTGGATTTTTTCCATACACCTCACTGAAGAATTAATGACAAGCTGACTTGAAAAGTTCAGGCCAAGCATCAGGGAAAAGTGTGTTTACCTTATAGACTCTTACTCTTTCCTTAATGTTACAGCAAAGATTTCAGATGTTTGATTCTGCGGCTTACAATGCAAAGAACCTTCTCTTCAAAGACACCACCACAGACTTGGTTCCAATCACAGATCAGAGCTACCAGGCATGGCTGGGTGATGAGTATATGCATGCAATGCAAGGCTTGAGCTGCGATCCTAGCAGTAAGTTGGGCCTTTGGATTTACTTCTGTAATCACAAGTAGAGGTGCTGATACAAGAGAGCTCATTGTTTGCATCCTGACTTCCTGGAGAATGCATGGAGCACAAAGATCCAAACATCACACTGGAGTGGGAGAGTAGACCAGTTTGAATTTGAGAACATGAAACACTGCTTCAGGGGTCCAGTTATGATGGTATAGAAGAAGCAGGGGTATCTATGCTGAGCAAACTGATACAGATATGATTCCTCAATCCACAGGGCAAGCCCAGAAAGCAGAATTCTGATCACTACCCTCAGTACAAAGACCCAGAGGGAGACCAAAGGGACAGGTCTCCTGAACTTTAGATTGATACTATGTTCAATTATATTCCATCCCTGAGCCTAAGACAGAATGCACAATGGTTACAAGTGGGGTAGCACAGGTGTGCAGTTTTGTATTATGTTAAATGCCTTGTAGTTTCCAAGTCCTGAAATATGCACGAGTGATGAGATTTCATGATTTTGTTCCTATTCTGTCTTGATTCTTGCAGCATGCCCCTCTTGATGGTACCTGAACACCTGATGCAATTTTCCTTCCCCACATGGATGATTGTAGCCTCTGTGTTGGATCACAGATTGACATTACAACTCCCCAAACTGCAGTTTGGAGCCAGCGGAGCTCCATTGCAAACTGCAAGAAATGTAGAACTACCTTGTCAATAGGAGCAGTGAGGTTTTAGTTTGGTAAATTGGTATTGTTGCTTAAAATGACTCCCTCATTTACAGCTTCACCTTTTCTTTTTCCTCTACCACTTAGGGGTTGTTCTGTTTAGCTTTGATATGCTGAGTGCCCACATTTCAGTCAGTTAAGTATAATGCAGCAGAAACGGGTGAAACATACAGCACCAAATCCTACTGTACCTTAGGTAAACAAATCGGATGAGTTTCTCATTGTTTTAATGGGAACTTTAGGGCTTGGTGGGATCTTTAATACATTTCCAGAGCTCAGGTGTTCTGCGGCAGTGAGCTGAGCCCTTTGCACGTGTGTGTCTCACCTTTCCGTTCTTTTCCTTCTGCTCAATGGCTGGCCAGGGAACCGGTTCAGCTCCTTGGCTAATTTGGAACAGCCAGGGCCAAATAGGGAATTCTAAGATGTGGGCACACCAACATGGGTCCACTAGAGCCATGCCCCAAGACCATAGCTCAGTCACTCTTCATGATGGCATGTTTCAGAGTAAGAGGAATGAGGTGCTCACTATGGAAGCCATTGCTCTAGCACACTTTGGTCAGCATTAGTTACATGAAGGCTTGTCAGGCTTTTCTTTGCATCCATTGATCATAGAAATTTTTGTAATGAGAGCTGAGATTCTGATTCCATCATCTGACTTTAGGAACGAGGGTCCTCGCCATAGGCCTCATCAGCCTACACCTTAATCCAGATGGAACAAGCAGCCTCAGGACTGCTCTAAATTGTGCTTGTTTGTAACCCTTATATCATCCTGGGATCTCTAGACTGATGTGTACTCTGACCATTCACTGCCCCATCCACAGTTTCTCTCTTACACTGGGGAGGCAGGGAATGGGTGGTATAGAGCTGGCTTCTATAGAGAGAGAGAGGAAGAAGGTGGTTACAGCATCAGCAGAGGGGTTGGCTTCAAGTCCTATACTGGTCTGCTATGGAATTCCTGTGTGATCTTGGGCAAGACGCTTATCTTCTCTGTGCTTCTGTGCCCATCTGTTAAATATTACAGCAGTTTCCTGCCTTGCAGTGATGTGAGGAAAATACATGAACAATTATAGGGTGCTCAGATACTAGAGTAATGAGGGCCATACAAGTACCTAAGATGAATGGTGTACAAAAGTTCCCCAGCGTAGGGAAACCTGCCCATTTAAAGTTCTTTCACAGTGTTAGAGCAGTACACAGTGCCATAGAGGGACCATAGCTCTTAACCTCTGACCAGGAACACTGGAACAGGGTCAGCTGGGTCCCATGTCCCGTCATCTTTTACTATCCATAACGGTGAGCTAGGATGTGGAAGTGGAGATGGAGAGGAGCAAGCAGGGGGCAGTGGGATCTTGGATGAAGGGACTAGATGGGGAATGGCACTTCAAGGGAAGGGGCAAGTGTCAGTGCAGTGTGCTCAATAAGGCGATCTGGAAATGTGACTCTCTCTCACACTTTTAGGAACCTTCCGCCACCCTTGCCTTAGACTATAATAGAGAATATTCTTAAAATCTCTGTACTAGACAATGAGCCTTCTTGGCAGCCTGGACCGCATGATACCATGTTTGCTTTTACTGCTCAGAACCCTGAATATCTGCAATAATGGAGGATTTGCCTACAGAATTTGTCTGCTTTGGTGGTTTTCCAGAAGCAGTCGACCTTGAGAAAGCATTGCATGTGTCTGTTCAGGTTGGTCTATGAGATTGCACTCTGGATAGGTCTTCACAGCTAGGGATGTACAGACAGCACAACAGCAGCAGGACTCATTTATCCTTTGTGAATGGATTTGTGGTATAGTCAGTAGTTCCTTCCATGGCTGCTGTGCCTAGCACAGTAGTTACGAAGACCTGTGCAGTACGATTAAGCAGCACAGGCACCTGTTTCTTCATTTGGGAGTGTTGAGGGGCAGGCCCCTTCAATGGCCCAAAAGCCCCCAAAATCTGGGTCAGTGCCCCCTTTGCATAGGGCAAACACGGGCCGTAGGCCCAGTTCCTCTCAAGTGTCCCTCTACCAGGGTACCTACAGCCTTCCAGCCTAATTCATAGCACAGTTCCCTCTATCAGGATATATACGGCCCTGCAGGCCTACTTCCAAAGCACAGTTCCCTCTATCAGAGTATATACAGCCATGCAGGAGTAGTTCCAAAGTACAGTTCCCCCTATCGGTATATACAGCCCTGCGGGCCTAGTCCCAGACACGCTCCCCTCTCAGGGAGGCCTAGTCCATAGGGAAGCCTCCCAAACTGCTAATTGTGAGGCGGGGGGGAATGTAGGGGGACCTGGGCCCTCCCGTGCCACTGGGTCCCAGCCCAGAGCCCTGCTGGCAGTGGAGAGTTTCACTGCGTGCTCAGCGGGGATTCCCGACGAAGGGCACTGAGCTTCCGGAGGACAATCCTCCACCCTGGGCCACTTCCAATACCAGGAGGAGGATGCTGGACAAGGGGGTTCTCTGTGACTGTGGGGCCTACTTCTGTTCTTCCCTAGTGTCACACATCCGGGCAGAGTTCCTCTGGACGGTGTCCACTGGCTCCATCGACAGCTTTGAGGAGCAGTGAGCACTGTCCGGAGTTCTCTGCTCGGAGTCCCTGTCTGGTTCCCTCATTTTAAACCTGTGACCAGACACCCTTGACCCTGTTTTGTTATTATTTGTCCCCCGACATTAGTTGCTGCTTCTGGGGCAACCATGGATGCAGCTACCGGGTGTGCTGCTCTGGAGGCGAGGCAGCTGTTGTGGCTGCTGTTGCTCAGGAGTTTGGGCCTGAGCTCCTTCCCCTGTGGCAGCCAGCCCCAATTGAATGGCTCCCTGGGCTTTTATACCTGGTCTCCCTTGCAAGCATGTCCTGCAGGGCCCTTTCAGCCAGATGGGGCAGGGCAACTCCCTAAGGGCTGCGTCTACACTGGCATGATTTCATGCAAGAACTCTTTTGCGGAAGAGAGCATCTACACTGGCATGTGCTTTTGCGCAAGAGCATCCGTGCCAGTGTAGATGCTCTCTTGCGCAAGAAAGCTCTAATGGCCATTTTAACCATAGGGCTTTCTTGCACAAGAAATTCATGTTGCCTGTCTACACTGGCCTCTTGCGCAAGAACAATTGTGCAAGGCGCTTATTCCTGAGCGGGAGCATCATAGTTCTTGCGCAAGAAGCACTGATTTTATACATTAGAACGTCCGTGTTCTTGTGCAAGAACTCAGTGTAGACAGGCAGCCCCTGCTGTTCAGTTCATGGTGGAGGGGGGAGGACAAGAGGTAGGTAGCCACACCCCGTCACAGGGAGCTAGTGAGAACCATCAGGTCTGTTTGTGTCAAAAATATCAGTAAAGAATTGTCTTTATGTTCATTCCACTCCAGCTCTGTTTATTCTGTACTGTGAGGTTTGCTACAGTTGTGTTAATTTCTAAGTGTGCATTTTTAATCAGGTGAGGGGAATATGTTGTTGATAATGAACAGACTATATACATATTTACATGTAATTCTTATCATTTTCTTTCAAATTGAATGCAGGGTTACCAGAAAGCCTGCGATGGTGTGTTGTGCTCAGTGAGGAGACCTGGAAATGTGGTGAAATGGCTGTTGCCTTTAAAAAAAAGAACTTGAAACCAGAGATCCAGTGTATTTCAGCCAAGACAACACAACAGTGTATGGAAATGATCCAGGTGGGCTTTTTACTGTGCTTTGCATGAACCATACAGGTTCTTGACCATGACTGTACTGTAATGCTTTAGCTAATGTGTGCATGTACAACTGTCCTGTGCTGGAGAGGGTCAGAACTATTCAGTCATGTGACATTGGCTCTATACATAAGCAGTAGGCACTGGCTAGTAAATCTAGGAGATTGTCAGACTTGTGGTCAAGACCTGAGATTTTGGAGTGACAATCTCATGCAACTGTGTCCAGAGCTATACCTGTTTTTGGTTTCTTCACCCCTAATAATGCTTATAAATACCTTCCACATCAGTTTTCCCAAAATATTTTTAAGATAAATACCTAAACAATAAGGCTGGCAAACAATTGTCTTTCTATCCTCCAAAAGGTAGTGTGGTGCATTGAGAGAAAGAACCTTTAACAGAGATTAATAGCTGCCTTTCAAATGCTCACTTGCTGACATCAGGTAAAGGTGTTCACAAACAATTTTGTCCGGCTTTATCCAGCTCGTTCTTTTTTTTTTTCCTTCACCATTATCTTTGTTATGGAATGTAGATTACTGGCAGATCTTCTGTCAGTAAGTAGATGAATGTTATCATTTACCAATCAATAAACTTCTTGTTAAATCTGGCCTAGTGCCACATTGTAAAATGAATCATCTTCTGTAAGTGGCCACAATGGCCGGATCCCGTGTGCTTTCAAGCCAAGTGGATCTTGGGAGAGCTGCTCTATAATCCAGAATTAGTTTCTGAAATTTCCTGAGTCCCCCAGTTGCTTATACATCGCCCTGTCCAAGTTCTGTTTAGACTAGGAGCATTTTGGGCATCCTTGAGCTAACCCCTTTGAGATCAACATGGCAGGACAGCAAAGAACAGAAACTTTGCAAAAAATGTCTGAACTACAGTACAAGATTTCAGGAACAATTTACATAGTGGGACTGCTAAGAGCCATTGACCCAAACTGCAAATCCTATACAGAATGGAAACCACTTCCAGACAGGGATGCAACTGCAACCCTGGTTCCAGCAGTCCTGTCACAGTGACCTGACTCTTCAAGCACTTGAGAGTTACAGGGTTTTTAAATAACACAAGTTCTGAGGCACATCCTCTCTAGTCTGGGTTCACTTTGTCTGTAGAGTCCATAGCTTGTTGATATTCCTACACTCCTCTCCTGAAGTCCTGGTTACATGTGGCAATGGTTGGCTCCCTATACAGAGCAGAATCTGCTCTTAAACAGATCCTCCATTTTTGTGGCATCTGTTCAAACCATGACATTCCAAAGCCACCCAGTGTGCTTGCTTCACCTTCTTTCACCCTGCAGGCCTCTGTATAAATTCCATTGCTCCATGAGAATGGGCCTGTAGTTGAGAGTCAAAGTCAACAGATGTTTAACTCTGATAGTTCTATGGTGGCCCTTCAGCAAAGTATCAAATGCCTTTCCTGAGCAGGGTGGCTGTCTGGGATATCACATAACAGACTACCCCATGGTAGATCCAGACTAACACAGCCAAAATCTTAGTACAAGTACAGAACAGTCTTCACAATTCGATAGTTATATCCCACCCCATAACACTTATAAATAGCAAATGCAGTTGTGATTTGTGTGAGCTATGTCGTCACTATTGCCAGAGCATCTCAGGGATATAAATCTTACATAAGGGTTACAAAATTTGCAAAAATGTGTACAAGAAAAAAATTAAGAAATATATTTAGTGTAAGAGTTATGGGAAAAACTCGAATATCTGAGTTTTATTCCTAGTATTACTGTGAAGTTCTGAATAATTCTGAGGTGCAGAAAAGTGATAGCTCTGAAGTCCTAGGTGGCTTTAGATGTTACAGTATCATGTGTCCATAGCATCCTTTATCAGCTGAAATCTACAGGTGCCTCTTATAAACTAGGTTAGTTATGTATTCACTTTGTATGAAAAGATCGGTCTGCTTCCTTCATCCATTATTAAATTGCAGCTACCCTGACTATGGCCTCTGTGCTGCTTTGAAGCATATTCAATTACACACAGAAATTCAATGAAACTATCCCTGGGGCAGAATTTATTGTACAATTAAATAAGTAATAGTGGCCTCTATGTAATTTCTTCAGAAATCTGAGGCTGAATTTGAATTCAGTCTTGTTATATTTGTTCACTTTAGAGGAAATTTCTAAAACATCAATAGCAAAACTGAGGCCCATCGTGTCCCATTCCTGTTGAGATTGAGCCATGTCCCAGGACCCAATAATACAGATACAGGTGTGTCTTTATAGCATAGTTACTGTGAGTTGTAATTCAAGTGTTACCCCTAACTTGACTCCTGACCACACACAAAATCCCCAGCTCAAGCTAAGTGGTGCTTTCAACTTGAACTAGCTGGTTCAAGGGAGAAGGGATTGGAGCTCTTCAGTTGTCCAGAGCAGAGGGGATGCAACAGCCTGAGTCACAACAACTCAGCAGCACCTAATCCAATTGCTGTGTGTAACTCAGTGCAGGTTTGAAGTATGGTCATTATCACGTGAGCTAAGCTAGCTGGAGCACAGTGACTCGAGTGCATTATCTGAAGATACCAGTGCAGTAGCTCTTTGTCTTCCCAGTTAATTCTCATTGCCATGTCAGAACACAGGGCTGTTTTGAGCTCTCTGTGTTCCACTACCTATGGGGCTGGATCCTACCATTCGAACATGGCCAGGACCAGCAGTGGGAAAATGGAAGAGGAATGCCATGGAGAGGAGGAGTTGCTGGCAAAAAGGATATGGGGCTTGTTGAAACTCACTCTAGCAAAAATCATAATCTGACTGGGCCTTCCAAGGTATGTCTGCTTGACCAAAAAAAGCGCTGCAGTGAGTCTGAGTCCAGGGCAACTACAGGATGATAGCACTACTGCACTAAAACAGGTTCACAGATATTCTCATTTGAGCTCTGAAGTTTAGCTAGGCAGATGAGATTCAGAACCCTAGCTTCAGGCTCAGCCCAAACATCTACACAGCTGTTTTTAGTGCCATAGCATGTTCCCCGCAAGCTTAAGTGTATAGACCTGGGCTCTGAGACTCACCACTGTGGCAGGTTTTGCCCTGTAAATATTCCTTCAGTAGCCAAAAGCCTTTCTACCAAAGTATCACCAATGAGTCTAGAGATCCAACCTTCTTTACTCCCTAACACTGGCCAGTCTCCTAAGAGCTGAATCTATTACTGTTGAGATTGCATGTCTGCATTTTTGCATCTGAATCTTGTTTGGTTATTAGATTTTATTCTGCAATGTGTAGGTCAGATTTGACAGAAAAATGACTTTGGCTATCCACAACTAGCTGAAGAATCTGCTTAAAATTTATTGGTCTGTGGAGCAGGACTAGGAGTGTTATCTTTACAGGGCCAGGACTCATTGTAGGGGTGATGGAGGATGAGGCAGCTGATATACCTTCTGGAGTCTTGCTTTGAGAGGTGCTTAAACTAGATGGCTGTGTCTAGACTGGCATGATTTTGCGCAAATACTTTTAATGGAAAAGTTTTTCCATTAAAAGTATTTGCACAAGAGAGCGTCTACACTGGCATGTGCCTTTGCACAAAAGATTTGCCTTTGCGCAAAAGCATCCGTGCCAGTGTAGATGCTCTCTTGAGCAAGAAAGCTCCGATGGCCATTTTAGCCATAGGGCTTTCTTGCGCAAGAAATTAACTTGGCTGTCTACACTGGCCCTCTTGCGCAAGAGGGCTTATCCCTGAGCGGGAGTGTCGAAGTATTTGTGCAAGAACCACTGATTTTGTACAGTATAAAGTCAGTGTTCTTGCGCAAATACTCATGGCCAGTGTAGACAGGCGGCAAGATTTCGCACAAAAGCGGCCACTTTTGCGCAAAATCTTGCCAGTCTAGACGCACCCTAGATATGTGTCATCTCTGTATCTAGGAAGGATTTTTTTTTTCACACAACTCATGAATGTTATTTCCTTTCAGAGAAAAGAAAGTGATGTTGTAAGTGTGGATGGAGCTGATATTTACATAGCTGGGAAGATGTATGGCCTTGTGCCAGCTGCTGGAGAAAGTTATTCTGGTAAGAAGAGCAGAGAACATAGGGTTTCTGTTTTCCATGCTGTTTGAAAACACTCCAGAAACATAGTTTGAGGTCAGTGGACCTGTATGGAAAATCATTTTTCAGACAGAAGCTAAATAATATATTTGATCCAATAAACCCCACACCTTGGACTTAAGTGACTCAATGTTGATAGAACTGGGGTGCTCTGTTAAGCTGTTGACTGAGATAATTAGATAGGAGTGAGTCACTGACCATGGACTTGAATAATATCCGTCTCCTTTCAGACCAATTAGGACATCTTACAATATGCTGTCAGAATAAAACATGAAGTTTTGCACAATTAGATGCATTGTAAAAGTTTCAGAGGGGCAGCTGTTAGTTTGTAACTGAAAAAACTTAAAAAACAGTGAATAGTCCCACATCACCATAGAGATAAACAAAAAATACAGATGGTATCATGAGTTTCCATGGGCACAACCCACTTCTTCAGATAAAACTGTACTGTAAAAGGTTTGTCTCTCTGATCTTCTGGTATTAGTCATTGGTGGAGGCAGGGTACAGGATTGCGTAGACAAGTGATCTGCACTATGGTGCTGTTTCCAACTTTGTAACTGTAGTTATTCAAGAAGGGCCGGTCAAGATTTACTACCGAGGTGTCCTCACAGGTCTCTGGTTCCGTTGATGATGATAACCCGAAGTCTGCTTGCATGTTTGCTCAGTGATGTGTGCTGTGTCGACTTGTGCACTTAGTCTCCACAGCAGATCCCAAGAGAGCCCCCAAAGACCACAAAGCAGATAAGGATTAAAGGTGCCAGGCCAGGTTTATTGTAGAGCGAAGTACAGTAATAGTTGTCAGTAGATTCTATTGAACCATTACGCATATGTCCTTGCCATAATGGAACAACTCAATCAATGGGAGGTCCCACTGCCCCCTAGGTCTTTCAAAGACTGCACCCCCAAGACACTCCCTTATATACAGGTACAACAAATCACACCTCACTGCTGATGTATCAGGTTGCCACCCTCTGACGTTGTCAGGTTACCACCCTCTGATGCTATTTAGTGTCAGCCGATGGTCAGGGCTGTGTGTGTGTGTGTGTGTGTGTGTGTGTGTGTGTTACACCCGAGTCTGGGACACAAGGTCCTGTCGCAGCGGGCAGCCTAGAGAAGGCTGACGGGCACCCCAAGAAGTTTAAGGTCCGTATCTTTCACCGCTAGGACCGGGGTCCCTTCATGGCGGGCAGCCTACAGGCTGAGAGATGCCCCAGAGTTTACAGGGAGAGCTTATTACACCTCAGATTTTGACTGCTAGGATACATGATCCCTTCGCAGCGGGCAGCCTAGGGAAGGCTGAGAGATGCCCCACAGATCTGTCCTCTGGAAGCGACACAATCCAAACACCCCAGATCTCCCTGTATCTGTCTCTTATGACCGGCTGGAGTTCTTTTAAATTGTGCTTGGTTCTGTTACAGCAACTGAAGGAGTCAGGTTAAAGCTTAAACAGTTACAGGTTTTTTAAAGAAGCTTATAAATCATATGGTTACAATGGCTATTGCTCTCTTTCTTAACTGCTAGCAAATATAGATCTTAAAAATGGTTACAAAGAAAATAAAAATAGAAAATAGAAATAATGGTACCAAGTGACAGTTTAATCTTTAAAGAGCTCTAAATCTATGTGTACACTTAAGACAAAGGACCACATCCAGGTACAATTTTTACCCCCTTCTGTGCCTCTCGACTCCAGCGTATCAGGCCAGGTCCGGTCCCTCAATTCCTAGGAAAGACGAATACGAGGTGGGCGTCCCCGTGGAACCTCGGGAGGCTAATCACCTAACCCGACCAGCAGATAGATGGTAGATTGACACTCAGAGTAAGTGTGCTCCTGGACCCATCTTTATACCCATAGCGGCCCGTATCCTCTTTCTTATCTAAGATGCCAAATTGTGTTGACCCGTCTTTGTGACGCCAGTTCTTACAAGGGAGTTTCAACTTAATTTACACTTGCAAGAGAGATAACTAAATTGTGAGTACTGGCCATTCTTTACTGGGCGGGAGCTTCCTCCCCCCAGACGAGTGTGTGCGTATCAATATAGGTTTCAGTCAAGGGCACTCCTTGGCAGCCTCTTGGTCAGCGATTGGCGTATCTCTGTTTACAGCCATCCAGGGTCACAGCAGCCAGCATATCCGGGCCTCCTGTCAAGGCTTCAAAGACTGTGCTGATTTTACTGCTCTGTGTACCCTGTATGCTTCCAGGCAAGCAAAGATGGATGTTCTAGGTGGGGGTTCCTGTCTGGCTACACTTAGATACCACCCATCACCCTGTACCTCATGGTTTGATTAGATCATCTCTATCCATCATGCTGTCATGCTGGCCTACGAAAGCTCATCATCTAATAAACCATCTTGTTAGTCTTTAAAGTGCTACATAGACCTGTATTTTGTTTCAGCTGTCATTCTAGACCTGTTTCTGAACCTGAGTCAGTATCTGTGAGGAGTGGGTACCAACGTCTTTTTTTAATGAGCTAGTGATATCATGTGCTTTCCACTTATGACCAGTACCAATTATTGTTCTGAAGTCAGTACCCAGCACCAATTAGTGTTTTGCACTCTCGGCCCTGTTCATGCCAAGTTCTGTGAGCTGGGGCCTGCCTCTTGTTCACAGCTTAGCTTTGCTTTCTTAGCCATGTTTTATCCATTGTTAGCTAGGCCTCAGGCCTCAGCCCAGGCCTGTGCTGCATTGGCTTATGTTTTAGGCCTTCATCTTACTACAGTAACATGTTTGTCATATTTATTGAGATTATGATGATAATAGAGCTTTGGCATTTTATAACACAGTATTAACTCTTTATGAATTAAGGATATAACTTGGGAGCCTTACAATTCAACTATAATCTTGCTTGACCATGAAAAGTCCTATGCTATTAAAGAGTGATCTTGTTAAAATCATAGGGACCTGGGCATTGCCATACCAAATCAGACTAAGGGATCATCTAGTCCAGTAGCAGGGGTAGCCATGTTAGACTGTAACTTAAAAAACAATAAGTCCTGTGGCACCTTAAAGATTTTGTGAGAGAGTCATTTCATCTGATGAGTTGGAGTGTTCTCTTAGGGTACGTCTACACTACAGCACTAATTCGAACTAACTTAATTCGAATTAGTTAATTCGAACTAAGGTAATTCGAACTAGTGCATCTAGACCTAAAAACTAGTTCGAATTAGCATTTTGCTAATTTGAACTATCATGTCCACATTGAGTGGACCCTGAACCGGGGTTAAGGCTGGCCAGAACCAGTGCCGGCAGGGCATCAGATTAGGACTTAGAGTGTGGAGCTGCTGTCTCAGGCTAGCCGAGGGCTGTACTTAAAGGGACCCGACCCCCACCCCGGACAGACAGTTCTCAGGGGCTCCCCGCTCACTTGTCTAATTCGATGAGGGACAGCAAAGCAGTCCTAGCTTGGAGTGCCCTGAATGCCCATACTCGGCACATCACAGCACTCAGCCATCAGCCCAGCTGCACTTGCCACAGGCTGCCATCCGGGGGAGGGTCAGTCGAGGGGCTTCAGGAGAGCTTCCACCCCGAGGAGCCCGCAGAGCCAGCCCAGTCCTCCCCACTGGGGGCTCGTACCCCATTCCTCTCTCACCTCCTTCCACTTACCCCTCCCTATTCCCCCTTTCTGATGTACAAAATAAAGGACACGTGTGTTCAAAAATAGAAACTCTTTATTGAACAAAACTCGGGGAGACTGGGAAAAGGAGGTGGGAGAGGGGAAGAGAGAGGGTGGGAGAGGGGAGGGCAACTAAAATGATCAGGGGTTTGGAACAGGTCCCATATGAAGAGAGGCTAAAGAGACTGGGACTTTTCAGCTTAGAAAAGAGGAGACTGAGGGAGGATATGATAGAATTCCAGGGGAAAAGGAAAAGAAAATAGGGCCGGGTGCGAGGGTGAAAGGGCTAAAACAAGGGAACCGGATGGGGACACTGAGAAGAGAACCCCAGACAGTACCCACTGCTCCCCAAAGGTCTCAAGAGAGCCAGCGGACGCCAGCTAGTGGAACGCTGCACAGATGCATGAACGGATGCAGGAACGGAAATAGGCCCCACAGTTGCAGTCCCCTCCCTCAGCTAACCTCCACTCCTTGGTTTTATAAATTGCCATCTTGGCCATAGCCAGGAGGAAATTGATCAGAAGGTCCCGCGACTTTGTGGAGCCATGGATGGGGTGTGCATAAACTAATAGGGGAGGGGAGAAGTGCAGCCAGAACCTCAATAAGAGGTTCTGGGGGAGCAGAAAGAGGGGCTGTAACCTGGCACACTCAAGGTAAACGTGTGCCAGTGTCTCCCTCTCGCCACAGAAGGGGCAAGTGTCGGGAACTGGGGTGAACTGCGCCAAGTACACGCCTGTGCTCACAGCACTGTGGAGAATTCTCCAGTTAACATCACCGGTGGGATGCGGAACCAAGGTAGAATACGGGCTGGCTCACTGGGGCTCCCCACACTCTACTGGTGGTAGGAGGTCCCGCCACTTGGTATCTGTGTGGGACACGAGGGGTGGGGAAGTGGAGAGTGTGAAGCATGAGCATGTACAGATGACAGAGTGTGCAAGGGGCAGCAGAGGCATTGCAGGACAGCCCCTCTGTCATAACCAGGAGTGCTGACCAACACCTGGTGACTAAGGGGTTAACTTTGTACCTAGCCAGGTATTGGGAGGTCAGCTAATAACAATGCAGGTAGGAATTTCAAACTGAAAAAGAGGGGTTCTCTCTCTGTTCTTTGTTTGAGAGGCAGAGCGTTTTCTTCCAAGTTCTGAGGGAGATGGGAGACACTCCTCTCTCCAAGAATGGACTTCTTACAATGTGTAAGTAGGGAAAAGTTTAGCTAGTCCATCAGAATTTATTGTTTTCCTTGTTTGGGGATGTGGAAATAATGTCTGAGCTTGTTAAGTGGTTTTTTCCCCCCTTTTGTAACTCAGTCTTCAGCCCAAGGACTTTCCCTGAGTATCTATATCAAATGGTGGCTCTGTCCATCTAGTCAATTTACTATGCTTGCAACTGTAGCTCTGTTTTGATAATAAAAGTTTGGGTTTTTTTTCTAATTAACTGGTTTTGGTTGATTTTTGTGACTGGAAGGTCTGTCTGGGTGTATCTGCATGCCTGACTGAGAGGTCAGCTACCACAGACTGCAGCTTATTTTTCTCTTTTTTTTTTTTCAAGATCTTTGGGGGGAAAAGAGCTTGGGGTACCCCTGGGGTTGGTTTCAAGTGTCCACCCCTGTTTGTGGGTTCAAAAGCACTTGTTGGTGACAGTGGATTCCCCAAAATCTGGGGATTAGGATTTGGGGGGGGAGTTGTACCAGAGCCTGTAGAGATAAGATTTTGGAGTGCTCTTGCGGGGGCCCAACTCCTGCATTCGTTGTGCCAGAGTGAGGAACAGCTTTGACAGTACCCAAATGGAGGATTTTTGCAAAATGAATGGAGGCAAAAATGGGTAGGGAGTAATATCTAAAAACTAAAATGTATAGAAATATTTTCATGACCTTTGAAAAAGCAATTTAGCCCTATCTTTATACTAAGTCAGCAGTAAAGACAGCTATAGAAATGAAAGTCAGATTGTTAATGTGAAACAGCTAATTAAGAATTGCTCGTAATAATGAAAAGAGCAAAAATGACTTTCCACATTTCATAGTCTGAAATTGCTGCTGCAGTTTCCTTCATGTAGGATGAACTAGAGATTTAGCAGCAAATGCACTTCAATGGTTCTGATATATTAATTGGGTTTTCATGAAGCAATAAGGATACTCAGGAAAAAAATAATAATTCTTTTTTTCTTCCTGACAAGGTGATGACAACAGCAACATGTACTATGCTGTGGCATTAGTGAAACGGAACACTTCCAATGCTTTCACCATCAATGACTTGAAAGGGAAAAAGTCTTGCCACACAGGATATGGGAGAATGGCTGGATGGAACATCCCTATTGGCATTCTAATTAAACGAGGTTTTATTAGGCCCACAGACTGTAATATTCCTCAAGGTAAGGGCTCCGCACATCAGAAGAGACAGTGACAGTTAGGTTGTGCCTTTTTTATTCAGGAAAGAAAAATCCCACGAGAAGTTCCATAGCTCAGTGTTATACTGATTTGTTTCATATTGGCATTAAATTCTTATCTTGATGCCAGAGAACTTAGGTCTGTTACACTTGGGAAGACTCCTGGGAAGAGTCATGGGAGTGATGCGCGTAAACCTCTGTGCAACACATTGAGAAATTGCCTTGGTAGGGTAGAAGAATCTTTTCTTTCTGTTTCATCTTATGGTTAACTCACTGCAAAACAATATGGGCCCAATCCTACAGTCCTTTCTCTCCTGAAAGCAGTCCTTAGAGAAGCAATGTCATAAACTCTATATGTAAGCAGGGGAAGGGTCCTACTATTTGAGGGAAACTTTCCTGGCTTCTACATGGCCCCAGTAAAATGGGCTAGTAAAAGGATTGGAGTCCCTGCTCCCACTTCCTTTACTCAGAGGCCTCAGAGATCTTGAGGGCTTCCCTTCCACTCTCCTGTGTGGCCGAGTCCCTGTAACCGCAACAGGATTCCTGAGGCACAACCCCCACTCTTGTTGTGGTCATCTAGGGCAGGACCTGGGGGTTCCCACTTCAGGGTGCTTTCTTCACACACTGGATGCTTCCCTGACCCATGGATCAGAACATACAGTTCAAATCAAATCTCTGGGGTGTCAGGCCAGGTCACAGTCTTTTCCTAGGAGGTCCCAGGCTTCCTCCTCAGGCCTTGGCTGCTGCAAGTCAGACACTTGCTCTGAGTAGCAGGATCCTGCTCCCCAGTGTCAGTCCTATTGCTAGCCTGGCCTGCCTGGCCTGTTCGGGGTCTCTATCCAGGGTCCCCTCTCACTTTCCATTGCTGGCCCCTCCCCCATCCTCCCAGCTCCAGGCTGCTTCAGGCCCAGCGCCATTCTCTGCTGCGCTACCTCCAGCTCCTGGGCTGCTTCCCTTGTCCCTCTGGCTCTGTGGCTGCAGCCCTGCTCCCAGAAGGGCCCTGCTGTTGGGCTGTGTCTCTGGTTCTTTGGCTGGCATAGCCCCTCTCCCCAGCTCAGCCTCGCTCTGAACCAGGCAACGCCAGCTCACACAAAGGACAGCGCTCTCCACAGCCTCCTCACTCCTGCATTAACCTGCCTATCTGCCAGTCAATCAGGCTAACCATAGAGTGCTAGCCTCTTCTCATTGTTCCTGGGGGCTGTCAGTCCCAGGGTCTTGATTTCTCAGAGATCCGCCCCCTCCCTTTTGCTACTGGGAGCAAACCAACCAGTACCCCTACTGAGCCTTAGTAAGGGGCCAACCATCCCCTTATATGTACTTCAGTGTGCACCTCTGGGAATAATTGATGTCAATGGGACTATTTGTGTAAGTAAGGCTTGCAGGATTTGGCTCTTAGTTTGGTATGGAAGTCCTGAATGAAGAATAAATGTGGAGTCAAAATCTGTGCAACTCACTAAAGACAATATGATGAAACAGAAGTTACTGGAATTCAATGGAGAATTTGTCCCACAGTTCTGGTGCATTTTCCAACCAAAAATGGACATGTGGGCCAAATATTTGAAAAGTTTAGCTTAATTGTGTGCACAGATTGTGCATGGGCCAAATCCTGAAAAATTCCTATTTCATCAAGTCCTTATGGGTATGTCTACACTTGCAGTCTATTTTGGAATAGGGCTGCAAATGCAGGCATTCGGAATTGCAAATCAAGCCCGGGATTTAAATATCCCGCGCTTGATTTGCATCTTCCTGACCGGGCGCCATTTTTTGAAATGTACAAGCCCGGAATAACTGCCCGTGTCTACACGTGGCAATGAAATGGGCGTTCGAAATAAAGCCCTATTTCGAACTACCTGTTAAACCTCATTGCAGGAGGAATAACAGGTAGTTTGAAATAGGGCTTTATTTCCAACGCCCGTTTCACTGCCGCATGTAGACGCAGACAGTTATTCCGGGCTTTTAAATTTCAAAAATGGCACCCGGCCAGGAAGATGCAAATCAAGCGGGGGATATTTAAATCCCGGGCTTGATTTGCAATTCCGAATGCCTACATTTGCAGCCCTATTCTGAAATAGGCTGCAAGTGTAGACATACCCTATCAGATTAAACAAGGTTTGCAGACTTTGAGCTCAGAATTCCTGGAGTAGCATTTTACCTCTGCAATTGCATTATTAATCAAGAATATGAATGCAAATGAATGAACAAAGAAGTGTGCACTGTGCATGTCTGGTATTATGCATATTCTTCTTGAAGTGTGCAAGTGCATTTTCAACACAGAACAATTTTGCACTGAGTTCATTGATTTGCATGTTTTAACAAAATGGACATGCAAAATCTGAAAACAACTTGCTGAAGTGTCTATTGTAATCAAATCTCAGAGGTTTAGCTGTGTTAGTCTGTAATGTTAAAAACAACGAGCAGTCCTGTGGCACCTTAAAGACTAACAAATATATAAGGTCATGAGCTTTCGTGGGCAAACCCCACTTTTCATTTGAAGAAGTGGCTCTTTCCCACAAAAGTTCATGATACTATCTATATATATTGGTTAGTCTCTAAGGTGCCACAGGACTGCTCATTTTTATTGTAATCAAAGCCATTTGTGCCCTTGTTAACCAACTGTAAGCTTAGTGTGTACTTCTGGAAAATCTCTCCAACTTCTCCTTCAGATTATCTCACTGGCTAACAATGTAGACAGCATTTTGAAGATGTTTTGAAAGAGGTAATTAGTCATTCCCTTTAAGAACCATGTAATGTACATGTCGCTGGCTTTTTAGTGAAACCAGAATTGTCATGTCATTAAATGCTACTGTTAAGTTGTTTTGTGAAGGGCTGACACTCATCTCTTTATGCTTTGTGTTGGGACAATGTTCTCTTTCCAGCTGTGAGTGACTTTTTCTCTGCTAGCTGTGTGCCTGCGGCCAAGATGGCCAATTACCCAACAAAACTCTGTGAGCTCTGTGTTGGAGATAACAGTGGAAACCATAAATGTGATGCAAGTACCCAGGAACGTTATTATAGCTACAGTGGAGCCTTCAGGTAATGAACAAACAATCATTGTGCAGCATGGATGCTTATTTTGCGATCACTGATAAGGCATTATTCTGCAGTCTTGGTTAACAAAAGTTGTTTGTTTTTGTTGCAGCTGTGAGTGGCATTTTCCTCATGGTTATCATAAGTTGAAGATGTTGTATTTAATTGTAGCCATGTCAATCCCAGGATATTAGAGAGGCACGATGTGTGAAGTTCAATAAAATATATTACTTCAATCACCTTGTCTCTTTAGAAGCTTCAGGGAGTAGCAGAGTTAGTCTGTTACAGGAAAAAAAACAAATGGTCTGGTAGCACTTTATAGACTAACAAAACATGGAGATAGTATCATGAACTTTCATGGGCACAGTCCACTTCTAAGCTCATAACTCCGGTTATCTGAAGAAGTGGGCTGTGCCCACGAAAGCTCATGATACCATCTATGTGTTTTGTTAGACTATAAAGTGCTCAGACCATTTGTTGTTTTTTTCTTATCTTTTTAATAAGTTTAACATGGCACTTGTCCCATGAACATCTCCCAGAAGCCCAGCAATAAAAATGTACCCAGCCCCCTCTGTGATATCTCATGCTCTCTAAAGCAATTAAAAGCCCAGATTGACCCATTGATCTGTTGGCCCTTTGAGAAGGTCACAGCTGCTGGACTGCATTGGGAGCTTGGGGTGCTAAATGCTGCTGCCTGTCTCCTAACTCTCCACAGTTGCACTCGGCTTCCCCCTCCTCCCACCACAAACAGCCTGCCACTGCTGCAGCACCTTCCCAATCCTGTCTCTGTGCCACCTTAATTGACCTAGAGCAACCAGGTGACCTACAAACAGTTCCCTGTCTCTCTTCTACAATGACATTCCTCCCCTTCAGTGGGGGAGCACCGATGGTTGGTAGCCAATTTCCAGCTGCTATACCACTCCTACAAGGGGAGGCAGGCCAGTGGCAAAAAACCAGAATGTGGGGTGCTCCCCATTCCTGACCTAACAGGACTTTGTCAGGAAGGCTGTGCACAGCTTACAGTTCCTTTTTGCATGCTCTTCCTCTTCTAAAGGGTTTGAAGATTTTGCTGTCATTTCAGGTAGACTGTGTAGACAAATGGTTATAAACTGGCCATCGACAAGTTTAGGTTTGAAATTAGGCAAAGCTTTCTAGCGATCAGAGGAATGAAGTTCTGGGTCAGCCTTCCAAAGGGGAGGAGTGGAGACAAAAATCCTAGCTGGCATCAAGATTGCATTTTATAAGTTTCTCAAGGGGATGGCATGATGAGACTGTACATGATATATTGCTGATCTGAGACTGCCAGCCGCAAATATCCCCAGTGGCTGGTGATGGGATACTAAATGAAAAGGGCTGAGTTACTACAAAGAATTTGTTCCAGGTGTGTGACTTCTGGGTGTTGAAAATGCTCAGGGTTCAAATGATCACTGTATCTGAGGTTTGGAAGGAATTTCTATACCCTTCCTCCCCCCCGGTCAGATTGGCAGAGACCATGGCGGATTTTGCCTTTTTCTGCAGCTTGGGGCACTTGCAGCTTAAAACTAGTAACTGTTACTGTAAGCCTTTAGGGCTTGGGGAGGGGGGCCTCCTGGTCACTGGGTGGCCACTCAGCCCCACTACCCCCTAATTAGTCTCTCAGGGAATTAGCTTGGCCCTTCGGCTCTTCAGGGCTGGGGGCTGATCAACAAACAGTCCAGGGCCAGGCCCTGCTCGGGTCAGGTGGTAAACAGGGAAACAGTTCGAAGCCCCAAGCTTAGTTTGGGGCGGGGCAGCACACAGAGTCCAGCAGCCCCGGCCTCAGTGCGGGATGGGGCAGCAAGGCAAACAGTTCAAAAGTCAGGCCCATGCTCAGGACGTGGCACCAGCAGGTGCAGGCTGCTGAGGAGGGAGACTGCCACTCAAGGGCATGGTGGCAGGGGGTACGTGGGCCCATCTACTCCACCGCGTCCCAACCCAGGGTCCTAGTAGCAGCAGAACCGTCTGCTGCTGGGTCAGGGGGGATCTGCTCCAAAACGCTCTGCCCAGGTTCTGGAGCAGCCAAACTGTGGTCGGTCACCCCTGGGCTTCTTCCCTTCTAACCCTCAGGTGGTACCTGCGCCTGGTGCAGGTCTTCTGGGCTTTGTTTGGAACCCCCAGTTGGGCAAGCAGTCCCTCCAGGTTGCCGTCAGGGGCCCTGGCAGTCTAAGCCAGTTCTCTGCCTCTCCTGGGTCCAGCTCATCCTCTGAGTATGCAGCGGAGGCTTCTGGCCCTCCCTGGCGATGGGCTTGCACTGGTCTCCCTGGCAGGCCTTTTATAGCTCTGGACCTGCCTCCTGGCTTCCCATCAAGTGGGTCATCAAGGCCAGGTGTTGCCCACCAAGGCATAGGGAGGGGCGCCTCCCTCTTGGGGTCAGTGGGCAGCCACGCCACCCCCGGACAGTAACTCTGTATTTCAATTGTGATTTGAAGACTTGAGTAACTCAGCCAGAGTTTACAGGAGTGGGGGAGGTTCTGTGACCTGTGATGTGCAGGTCAGACTAGATGATGATGATGTTCCCTTTGGGCCTGAAAGTCTTGAATCTATGAGTATATTCCTTAAAACAGGATGCATTACAAATAAAGAGATTGAAATACATTGTTTGCATAACATGCCTCATTTGGATTCTTAGCCTTAATTTCTAGAAGCTTCAGGGGGTAGCCAAGTTAGTCTGTAGAGGGTAAACTTTAAAAAAACACACAGTCTGGTAGCACTTTAAAGACTAACAAAACATGTAGATGGTACCATGACCTTTTGTGGGTACAGCTCATTTCTAAAGAGAACTCCCTTCTCAGACCTCTGCTGTTCACTGTCCAGAGAGATAGACCGGTCTCATGAGCCTGTATCCAGAGAGATAGCTGTTTCCTATTTCTTCACCCTAGATCCTTCATGAACCTCTTTCCGCTCAGCCCCATTTTCCCAAAACACTTTTCTGAACATAAATACACATATGATAGGGTTGGCAAGTACTTGCTTTCCCACCTTCCAGGAGATCGCTGCCTTTCAAATGCCTAAGTAATGAACTCAAGTAGAGCCTCTACAGATCATTTTGTCTAGCTGTATTCAGTTCATCCAGACTACTCGTCCTGCTCCTTCTCCTTCTCCCTTGCTAACAATGTAAGTTTGCGGCAGACTCTCTGTCACACTTCAGAGCTTCAGGGAATCATTTCGCAATCAACAACCTTATAAGCAGCATGTGCCAATGTGACTGAACTATGCCATTTCTAAAATCATGTACACCATGAATGGATTATGGTATCCTGGGACCCTGGGCCAAAGCAGTTGTGTGTGCAAGGTTCGTCCCCTGGAGGCTAGTCTAATTTGCCCACAGAAGAGAGTCACACTTTCAGGCTGGGTCCAACTCAATTTTATTGCTTGCAAGCAAGGTTCGGCTAAGGAGCTCAGTGCTCAAAGCAAATCCGACCCCCAGCATCGGGTAAGCAAGGGGTCTTATAGGGTTAACATCTTTCCTGGTTTATGTGCCTTAACATGATTGGTTACCTTATTTTGCTTCTAATATCCTTGGAAGTCAGGTTTATCTCCAAATAAGGTTAGCTGCACTATGCAACCCTGCTGACTCTGCGGTTACAGTTGTTTGTTACATTTATTTGCTCACTTAACAATAGGCGGGTTACACTTCTTACTTGCCTGCTTGAACCTGTCACAAGTGAAATATATATCTACATTCTTACTCAAGCAGGAATCTGGTTTCATTTCCTGCTACAGTATGGATACATTACTTACAAGTGTGTGGAAAGGCTGAGTGTGCTGTACAGACAGCCAAGAAAATCGTCTGCAGAAGATCCATTCCTTGTGCTTGTGTTATAGATCAATACCAATAGCAGCTACTGGATATAGTGGTTGATAAAATGTATAGACAATTTCTTGAACACGCTTTATTTCCTCATGAAATAGACACACTCTAAAATATGTACATAGAGATATGCTAGGCCAGATCCTAATCTTATGGTATACCATTTTTTTGAAAGATAATAAACAAAATAAAGATGCATTCATTATATTGCACTCTACTGAGTTTGTATGTCATTGCACTGAATATTATCTGTCTCATTTAAGGTGTCTGGTGGAGGATTCTGGTGAAGTGGCCTTTGTCAAGCACTCAACAGTTTTTGACAACACTGATGGTACTTAGTTTTATATACCTTTTTATTACAGCTCTTTATTTTTCTTGTCGCCTCTAGTCTAAAGCATTTAGTGAGTCACAATGGCTATGTTCCTTTTGCAGGTAATAGTGCTGATTTCTGGGCTCTTCACTTGCAATCCAGTGATTTCCAGTTACTATGTCCAAATGGAGCCCGAGCTGAAGTCACTCAGTTTGCTCATTGTCACTTGGCTCAGGTGCCTGCTCGGGTTATCATGGTCCACCCAGACACCAACATTTTTGCAGTATATGGACTACTGGACAAAGCTCAGGTATAACTTACAATGAGTTTATGTGCTGAGGTACTTAGGCACTATCTAATAAGTCAATGCAGGTAATTTTCAGATCATTATTAGCAGGGGTAACTAAACTTGGCCTAACCACAGGCTGCAATGGCAAATTTCCAAAATCCTAAAGTGTGCTCCTAATTCATAATTTAAACATTTTAAATACTAGCGGGCTGAGCCCCCTGCTTGCTATGCTTGCCAATCCCCCTCTCCCTGGCAGCTTTCGCGTCCAGAGAGCATGAGAGCTATGTTTACTAGCCCCCCCTCTTTCTGGTGGCTTTGGCGGTCAGAGACTGAGAGAGCTACGCTTACCAACCCCCTTCTCTCTAGTGGCTTTTGCAGTCAGAGAGTGTGATCACACAGAGAGCGTATGAACGTGATAATGTCATTCTTTCTCCTGGCAGGAAAAACTCTTATAGATACAGAAAAAGAGAGAAAATGCACACTACCATAATACTTGTTTAACCTGACATCTTCCTAAATTCATATGTAACCCCCTTTTTCCTCCCCGGGTTACTGGGGAGCAGGTCACACTCACAGGTGTGCCTGGGCGCCTGGTGTTTTAACCCAAAAGAGATCCTGAGCACCCCAGTGGTGATGGTGTTTAGTTGGGGAAAGCCCTATCCACCCCCTTGCTGCAGTTCCTTGCTGGCAATGAATGTAAAATGGCGGTGCCTCCACCTGGCTGGCCTTGTACACAGGAATATACTCATTCCAACATAAATCTGGATCTAATTCCAGAACAACTACAAATCATAGACATCGAATAGAACACTTTAAAATAAACAATCTTTACTTAACTTAAATAAACAGGGATTAACAGAATTAGAAGAGAATAGCATTTACAAAACACATAGTAATTTATGCTTATATAGCTAGACAACAGTGACCCCACCCCAGAGTGTGCACACCCCTAGACTCAGTCCCAGACACTTGCTTGCGTGGGTGCGCTGATGTTAAAGCCGTAGTGAGGATTTGGTCCAGGCTAAACAGCAGCTCTGTCCCAGGCAGCACTCTTCCAACAAGGCCAAAACTTACTGCCTCATGCTGTGCCTATAGGAAGCAGCCTGCTAGATCCCAGTTCCAACAGGCATCCAGTAGCTGCATCCAACAGCCCCTGCACTGGGTCAGTGTCCTTGGCAGCAGCCTGGCTCCCCCTTCGGTTCCAAACCCCGAGGCAGAGTCCCAGACTGCTAGGCCTCTTTCTTCAAGCACATGAAGAGAGCAGTCCTCTCTCCCATCAGAGTCCTTCCTTCCTGTTTTTTCCCAAGGGCTCATGGGAATTGTAGTCTGGATTGTAGCACACAGGGTCTTTTCAGAATAAAAGAGAGGCCCCTTTAGAGTAAGGGGACTACACATAAATAGACATGCAATAGTTATATGAGAAAATAGCAAGTTTGATAAATTGTAGTGATATAGAAATTTTTTGAAAGCATATTGCCTTCCAGGGCTTGGTAGCAGGATTTTTAAAACAAAACTTAGACTTTATTATAGGTGATATGTAGGTACTGAAACCTAAACTTAAGGTTGCCCCATACTTTCCATGATAAGTCTCTGTTTTCAGTTGCTTATAACTTAGCTAAACTTAAACAATGGGAACTGAACTTTTCCATGCTGTATTTGTGCCTCAAGATGAATATTTTGAGAAAGTTTCAATTAAAATGGCTCGACTATCTCTGACACAAGATTAGAGGAAAATATGTTACTTGTTTGCTCATGTTAATAAAACACCATTTTGTTGACCTCCATGCTTTGAAGCAAAGACTTGAAATTGGGGGCAGGGGGCACTCTCTTGTCAGGGATGTTCCATTTGCCAGCTCCCTGGAAATCTGCCCAGCTATGGCTGAGCTATAAGCCCATGAAAATCTCAGTGCACACATACTCTAGAGGGTATGTTAGTTTGGCAGCTAGATTCTCTGAAAATCCTGTCTCCACTGAGCAACTGTCATCCCAAGGATGCAGTAGGTCAGCAGGGCTTTCGCTGATCCTGACTGCAGAGGGTTGCCGTGATGCCAGGCACAGGAACTAAGAATATGGAGACTGTCTTTCTAGACTCTCCATGCTCCACTTGTTGGAACCCAGGAAGCATACAAGAGGAAGATTGATTTGAATTCATCATTTTTAACTGTTTTGCCTTCTCCAGTACTAAGATCCTAGTAATGATCCTAAGCCATTGCTAGGATCTCTTTTGTTCATAACCTTCTTTAAAAACTGCTTGTTTTTGAGGCCACTGCCCACCTCATGTGTTTTTCATATGTGTAGCCCAAGGTCCAGTGTGTTTCAGCAGCAGCCCTGGGAACTACAAGTTGTGGACTACAAACTGCGGCATGTTGGGAGAACGTCCTGGTTCCTGCCAGGATGTGCCCTCTGCCCCCAGCAGGGTCTCAGCAAGGACTGTGCTAGAAGCAGCACACAGGCTGCATGCTGAGAGAAGGGGCTGCTGAACTGTTTTCCTCTTCTATGTTTTTTACAGAATAAAGCCTGATCCTGGTGATTTGTCGGAGTGGGTCTGGTCTGAGGCGCACTCACCCATACACAACGCAGAGCATACCAAGCAGCCTCAGGCCTAGCCCTCCCCCCACAGTGGTGTAAGAAGTCACAAGCTTCCCCTATGCTGAATAACCTCACACTGGGCTAGCCAACAGGAGGGGTTACATATGTTTTTAGCTTTCTTTAACAATTGTCTACACTATATAACTGCCATTTTATAGCTTCAGAATAGCCAAGTTAGTCTACAACTGGAACAACTTAAAAAACAATGAATAGTCTTGCAGCACCTTAAAGACTAACAAAACCTGTAGACTGTAGATGGTACCATGAGCTTTCATGGGTACAACCTACTTCTTCAGATAAATGGACTGAAGAAGTGGGTTGTGCCCATGAAAGCTCATGATATCATCTACATGTTTTGCTAGTCTTTAAGGTGCTGCAAGATTTTATAGTGACTGCTATCTGTATACTTTTAACTGCTTTCTTCCCTTTAACAATGAACCGGGGAGAAGAATTTGGTCCTTACGTATTACATTTTAAATAGATGGATGTGAAAGACAACTACAGTGGGAGTTCCAGACACAAATGTTGGAATTTACAGCAGACTGGCTAAGGACTGAATGGGCTTAGACACTAAAGAAGCATTTCACCCTTAATTGGAATATTGTATTGAGTTCCTTTATCTAATAGAAAAGTTTACTCCAAATTAGGGATGTGCAGCTGTTGGGGGCAGGGAGGACATTACAGCCCAACCACACACCCCACATGCCCACCTCTCTTTAATTACTTAACTGATTAAATATCACGTTTAACCAATTAATCAATTAAACAGGATTTTACATCCCTCCTCCAAATTGATTTTAGAAACTTCTGATAATAGAAGAAAAATATTTTGAAGTTAGAATTATTGGTCTGCGAGCTTCTGAGCAGCGGAGAGGGTTTGTTTCCACTGTGTTGTGTATGCTGCTAAAGACGAATGGAGCACTTGCGATATAATACAAACTTTGGTTCTAATGAAAACTGAATTGCTTTCAGGATTTCTTTGGAAATGACAGCAATGGAAATGGATTCAAAATGTTTGATTCTTCAGATTTACTAGGAACAGACTTGATCTTTAAAGATTCCACTGTTAAGATTGTACCAGTAAGAGAGAAAACAACCTATGCAGAATGGCTGGGGAGTGAATACATAGAGTCCATCGAAGGGATGCACTTACCTCAGTGCTCTGGGGCAGGTAAGCCACCATTTTTGGTGTCTGTAAGATTGATTTTCTCTAGCACTTCCTCTTTGGTATTAATTGTAAGGTGCTGTCTGATCCTTGTGGGTTGGACAATTCCCAGGTTCCATGACATGTGGAGGCAGGACAGATTTTTGGCTCTCAAAGACAGAGCAGTGTTGGGATTCTTGGCTAGTGAATATAGTCTGGCCACCTCAATGGCAATGCTTCCCATTGGCTCCATTCTGACCTATCCCTTCTTCCCATTGCTGTAGTCCCCAACTGCTGCCTGAAGCCAGCAATCAGCAGTGGATGAGAATATGATAGTATGAAATCCAGAGCAGCTCCTTGCATTACGTAGATGTTGGTGGCTGGGAAGAGTCATCCAGTGAGGTTTTTCACCCACTGGAAGAAAACAAGGGATCCCAGCATTCACAGAGGAAATGAGGGAGATTACAAGGGTTATGTTTTGGAGCTGGGAAGGAGAGCTCAGGAGCAGATGAGTCAAGTGCATCTGTTCACTGAGTTGGTTTATATTTGAATAATTAGCATCTCTTTGCATCTCAGTGTGTCATTTTGCTCTTGATATTTTTAAATTCATGCAGCCTTCACCAGGAATAATCTGGGTAATCATTTGGGAATGATTTGGTTCTAGAATCTTTCTTTGTGGTGAAGTCAATGCCTCCAAACTGTAGCTGGAGCTGATTAAATTGATTAGCCTGCTCCTGTATATAAACATTTCATAATCAGATAGCAGTCAGATTGGCTCCTAATCTGTAGTGCTCAATGTGTATTTTTATTTGTAGCTGCAGTATCCATGAACATCGTTATGCTACTGGTGGCTAGTGTCGTTCTGATTAGATTCTACTTCTCGTGAGCATTAGGCCGTTCCTTGGATTAACAGATATTCATCATCATAAACTGAAATACTGGTAAATAATATAAATAAACTGAAATGAAACTTGTAAAATGAATGGGAGAAGCATGTGGCGAGCAGTAAAATTATAGAGTCCATTCTATGTTGTTCTGTCTATCCATAAAGGTAATGGGAAATCTGGGAGGGGTCAGGAGGGATTCCATTTTCCATTTTTGTATTGTTCTCTAAAGACCTAAATTTCAGTTGATATACTTATCAAATAGGAGCTTCATTAATAAGCTTCTTCCTTTCTAAAGTTTCCTTTTCTCTCCACCCCATTACTTACTGTCTTGCTGTAATGTAAATGAGGATAAATTCAACTTATTTATTTCTCATTTGGGAAATGTGAAGTTTAGATTATTAGTAAATCTGCTTCTTTTTTAAAACTATTATACCACTTGCTTTCCTTCTACTTTCAAATGATCTGCGAAATGATTTCTGTTCCTCAAGCCATGAAGAGCTCCATGCAACTCCTTCCATAGGCAGTGTCCCTCCAGGCCACAGAGTGCTGAGTGGCTACTCTATAGTGCTCCCAAGTACTGGCTGAAGAGCTTGAGTCCCAGCATAGCATTGTCAAGCACTGGGTTCACACAAGACAAAAAGCTTTTGAGTGCTTTTTAAACTTTTCTCAATATAACTTTTTAAATTTTTTAGTGACATGGAGCTTGACATTCAAAAAAGTATGTAACGAGTCCGCATAAGAGAGTATATCAGGAACAGTAATGGGCTGCTCATTGGCAAGCTGAGTCACAGTAGGACACACACTGCTGCTAAGATTATAATAAAATTATGACACTGGGTCAGAGCAGCAGTCCTTCTAGCCAAGTATCCTGTCCTCCAACAGTGGCCTATGCCAGATGCGTCCGAGGGAATAAACAGAACAGAGCAGCTATGAAATGATCCATCCCCTATTGTCCACTCCCAGAATCTGTAAGTGAAAGGTGTAGGAACATGGGGTTGCATCTCTGACCTTCATAGCAAATAGCCATTGATGGACTTATCCTCCATAAACTTATCTAATTCTTTCTTGAATCCTGTTAGCCTGGGCTTCACAACATCCCCTGGCACCAATTTTCACAGCTTGACTGTGTATTGTGTGAAGTACTGCCTTTTGTTTATTTTAAAACTGCTGCCTATTAATTTCATTGGGTGACTCCCTGCTTTTGTGGTTTGCATGTCTTTGTATACAAGACATCTGTAGTACAACTGGAATATAAATGTGTACTTGTGTAACTAATATTTAGTTGTTAGGTCAGTGTGCCTGCTTCTTTAGGGATCCCCTGTTTTGGAACTAATAAAGAATGTTATTAAACACTCATCAAAGAGGAAAATTTGGTAAGGATGCCTCCATTTCATTCTGCACTGATGGTGTTTGTATGGGAAATGAATATTGGCTCAGAATGTTTTGCTGGTTCCCCCTTTGCTTGTGGATAATCCTTTTAAGATCTCTGGGTACATTTGTAGATTGTCACTCCGTTTTCTATGGCCATTCTTCCCCAGCTTCTTCAAGTCACACCTAAAACCATTGGTTTTGCTGCATCTTCGAGATGCGCTAGAAAGTAGGGACTTTACTATTGACACCAGTTGATAAATAAGGAGAAAAGTGGCCCAGAGATGCTTGAGAATACAGTTAAGTTTCATATTTGGGGAAATATAATACTATTATTCTTGTTGGAAAAAGAAAGAACTGCATTAGACGTGCCTGGGCAAGGAGTCACTCTGACTAAATCATAGACCCCAGTAGGGAAGAGCTCCTGGACAGACCTAACCGAAAAGAGAAATTTCTGTCTTCCATGAAGAGCCTTTCTCTGATGAGTACTCTGTTAAGCGTTCAATATACTGTTGATCCTATTGTGAAGGTTCAGGACAAAGGTAGTCTCAAAAGAGCAGATGGCTTGAAGGCAGCAATCAGAGCTGAAGCAGATGGTGGTGCTGAGAAACCTGGACTTTGGTGCAGGGCTTCATACCCAGCAATCAATGCTGAAATAACTTGACCTTAGTTGTTTGTTAGAGGCCCCTGAAGAACACTAGGCAGCACTTCCCCCTCAGCCTAGAGACTGAAACCTGGTCAACACTAGGGCTATGTCTACACTCGCGGCTTCTTGCGCAAGTAATATGCAAATGAGGCTAAGCGTGGAATATCGCCGAGCCTCACTGGCATACCTAATGAGGCCCCATTTTTTTCAGAAGAGGCTCTTGCACAAGAAGGAGCGTCTACACTGCCCCTTCTTGCACAAGAAAAACCCTCTTGCGCAATGCCATTATACCTATTACTTTTCAGGAAGAACAGCATTGCGCAAGAGCTGCATGCAAGAAGACATTGCATGCAAGAAGCCGCGAGTGTAGACATAGCCTTCGAGTTTAGGTCAAATACATAAGTTTGATTTTTCTAAACAATGTGTCCACACTACCAAGCCCGTCCTGTTGACTTCAAGGGCCACTGAAGTCGATTTCGGTACTCCTTCTTTTCACGAGGAGTAATGCAAAAGTCAACCTGGCATGGTTGAATTTACAGTTCTGTAGACCGAAGCATTGCAAAATTTGACACATTTGACCTCCAGGATGCATCCCACGGTGCCCTGCTGTGACTGCTCTGGCCAGAACTTTGCGCTTCTACTGCTCTCCAGGTGAACAGGAAAAGCCTTGGGTAAGTTTTAATTGAATTTCCCTTAAGGCCGGTGTTGCGAGCACATCTCAGAGTAGGCAGCACACACGGCCATGAGTTAAAGTTCCATGAGCTCCAGTTCCCAGGTGCAAAAGAGCACCAGCATGGCATGTGAAGGAGACTTTGGGCCTCATTAAAACATGGGGAAAGGAATTCATTCTCTCGGACCTTCGAACCAGCAAACGAAGCACTGATATTTACACGAAGACCTCAAACTGCCTGGTGGAGAAAGGATACGCCAGGGACGCCCGGCAGCGTCTTGTTAAAATAAAGGAGCTGAGGCAGTACTATCGCAAGACAAAGGAGGCAAATGGACAGTCTGCTGCACTGTTGCACACATGCTGCTTCTATGAGCAGTTGTGAGTGATCCTAGGGGGGGACCTAATCAGCTTCCCAAGCCAGACCTTGGAATTCCCAACACACCCAGGGGAGCTGCATGGTGGTGAAGGGGGAGGATGAGGATGAGGATGAGAATTGCCAGACAGTGAGCAGCAAGAGCCAGGAACTTTTTATAACCTTGGAGAAATCCCCTTCTCCCAGGACAACTCATAACTGGGCACTGATCCTGAGGAGGGCACTTCCGGTGAGTTCACAGTTGTTTTCTTGCTACAAGCAGGTTAAGGCAAATGGATGTGAGGTGTGCTGTACTCTGTGCCTACACAGCACAGGGGTCCCCAAACAGCTTGTTAATGTGTCTGGAGATAGAGTGGGAAGCCTCTGTGTGTATCTCCATGAAGCTCTCAGAGGAATTCTTTATCCTTCTCACCAGGTTTCTGGGGAGACCAGCCTTATTCTGCTGCACTGTTTTGCTCCCAGCATGCACCAGAAGCATAATGCAAAGCTTTGCAGACACTGTGGAATAGCTACCCACAGTGTATCACTCTCTAAGTCAATGGCAGTCTTCCTACTGGAGACTAGGGGTGTTAAATTTCAATTAATTAACTAGTGGAATAGTTGATGGGATGTCCATCGATTAATCAATAAGGATTTCCAGCAGGGGCTCTTGTGCGTTTCAAAGACTGAAACGCTCCATGGAGCCCAGGGCCAGTGGGGACTCTTGTACATTTCAAAGTTGGCCGCCGCTGCACTCCTGCCCCCTCTCATGGAGCTGCAGCTGGGGGGAACTGGCTTTTAAGGCAGCTCCCTCTAACACCCCCTCCGCTTACTCCAGTTTGCTGCCTCTTTGTTGTAGAGGCAACAAGTGGGGAGGGGGAGCAACTAGTCGACTAGTGTATTAACTATCCGATGAGCTTTTGCTTATCGGATAATCGATTAGTTGCTTACATTCCTTCTGGGGACACGCTACTTAGACCTACATTGAATTCTCGCACACAGTGAGGACATGGACCTTCGACTTTACTAAATCGGGTGGTAAGACATCGACCTTAATAAATTCAACCTTATCTCATAGTGTAGAGATGGCCTGACATGCCAAAATTCTTGGACTCTACCAACCTTGACCAATAAATTGTGAGTTGGGAAGCTGGAGAGGAAGGAAGTGAATAAAATGAATTAGTCACCCATAACTACAAGAGGTGGACTGAGGTTAGCATGATTATTAAAACACACAAAGGGGAGGGGAGTCTTACTCAATAGATATTGTTAATGTATTAATATCTAGCTTTTCCAAATTCATTCTGTCATCTCCTCTACCCTTTAATAGGGATGTAAAATCCCAGTTAAAAAGTTAACCAGTAAATAGTTAATTGGGAGCCCCTGGGCAGGGGCTATTTCAGCCCAGATGGTCCCACCACACCACAGGCTGCTCAGGAGTGGCTGGGCCCAGCCCACCATGGGTGAGGGCTGCTCAAGCTGAGTCTGGCCCACTGCGCTGTGGACAGGTGGCTGCTCTGGCTAGACTGAGATCGCATAAGGCGCCGCGTCATCATGGAGGGATGATAGGAGTTACTATAGAGAACTTTCTGGGTGTCTGGCTGATGAGTCTTGCCCACATGCTCAGGGTTTAGCTGATCGCCATATTTGGGGTCAGGAAGGAATTTTCCTCCAGGGTAGATTGGCAGAGGCCCTGGAAGGTTTTCGCCTTCCTCTGTAGCATGGGGTACAGATCACAGCTGGAGGATTCTCTGCATCTTGGGGTCTTCAAAGTATTTGAAGGCTTCAATATCTGAGATATAGGTGAGAGGATTATTCTAGGAGGGGTGGGTGAGATTTTGTGGCCTGCACTGTGCAGGGGGTCAGACTAGATGATCATAATGGTCCCTTCTGACCTTAAAGTCTATGAGTCAAAGGCAGGGGGCTGCTCCAGCCTGGCTAGTCTTCTAGTTAACTGGTTGCTGGTAAGTCTCATGTGGGTGATGCTTACTGGGTAACCAGTTACCCATTTATATAAGTTTTTATTGTTTCAAACCCTCAGACTCAGTGCTTGTTAGTGGGAAACACTGGCCATCCAGGACACCCAGGGAGATTATCTAATCTAAATCTTATCTATCTAATCTATCTATCTATCTATTTTAGAGATTTGTGAGTTTGTTTGTCTGCAAATCTGTTTCCTAACTTAAAGCAAGATCAGGGTTTGGTTCTGCCAGGAAAATGGGATGTGCCTGGACTTTGTTTTCCATAACATGGAAAGCAAGCGGGGAAAGAGGACGGGTAGTCAGTGCAAGGGAGAGCTATACTGCAGAGTAACCACTGGGGGGGCAGGTGCACCACCAAGGGAGTAGCCTGTTGGGAATGGGGCTCACCATCTTACCAGCCCAGGTAAGTGGCCTCCCTGCCCCAAATGCTCCTCCCCCAGCCTTTGGCCCCAGCACCTGACTGGAGGGGGAGATCCCTCCCCAGAAGCACAACCAGGGCCAGGCAGCGCAGCCTCACCCCCTCACAGTATGGCTGTGGTGGGCTAGCCTGCATGGCTCCGCTTCTTCTCCCTCTTTCCCCCTCAGCCCTGCTTGGAGAGTGCCAGTGGAGAAGGCCTGCATAGCTTCCCTTTCCCACCCACCCCTGAGCTCCCTAAGGCTGGCCCGGGGAAGCCTATGTGGGCCCCCCTTTGCCTCCAGCCCTCTCAACTGCTGGGCTGCCCCCCCAAACTCTATGCCACCCCCCTTCGGGCTCTGGATAGGCCCAGGGTGCACCAATGGGAGGCCTGCACAGTGCTGCATCACACCACTCCAGTTGGACCTGGGCAACTCTGGGTAAGTTTTCTAGTGTATGTGTAAATAAAATTGCAGCTGTAAGTATTCTGAAAGAACTAGAAAACTGAACCCAGTCCTCCTTGCTGCTGACAACAGGAGGACAGAAAGGTTACACTTTTTATTGTATGAAGGAGCAGCAATATTAATATTTTCATTTTAATATTTTCCTTCTAAAGTAAGTTATCTTTCTAAATTTAGTGCTCCAGATACACAGCTCAAGATATTAGTCATCCTTGTACTCACAGACCAGGTACAACATGGAAAGAGGCAATGAAAAACTACCCTATAATGCTCCACACCCATGTTCTTGTGGGATCGTCTCTAAGGGTATGTCTAAACTACAGGCTTTTGTTGATAGAGGCTTTGTCAACAAAGAGTGTCTAGACTACATCCAGTTCTGTCGACAAAGCAAGCTGCTTTTTCGACATGAGAGTGTAGATACAAAGGACAACGTAGATGCAATAACGCCTTCTGTTGACAGAACTCTGTTGACAAAAGGCGTTATTCCTTGTAGAATGAGGTTTACCACTGTCAACAAAACTGCCGACTTCTGTCGACAGAACTCAGCGGTAGTGTAGACGCAGGTATAGTTTTGTCGACAGAAGTCCACTTTTGTCAACAAAACCCTGTAGTTTAGACACATCCTAAGTGTTGGAGATTAATTTGGTCTCCACAACCAACTTAATCGTTGTTGTAACTTTATATATAATTTTTAGCTTTGGAAGACATTCAGATACTATGGGGATGGAGGCCCGTAGTCAGGTAGATAGCTTGAAATTTTATATATCAGGTATGTGATGGTTAGGAGATTTGGCCACTGAAAATAATGGACTCAATACAGACCTCCAATAGTCACCCACTTGTAACACCTTTTAGTTACTACTGGCCCTGGGTTTGAACTGAATTACCTAATGGTGAAATGCCATCACCAATCCCTGAAGTCATCCAGCCAGGCCCACTTCACCATTGGTGCGGGAGCTCCAGCCTGGCCAGAGCAGTACATGTTTGCAGCAGGCCCAGCCTGGCAAGAGCAGCCTGCTGCATGGCAGGCCTGATTGGACTGGAGCAGCCCCCCATCCATGCTGCAGGCCTGGGGGCTCCAGCCCGGCTGGGCCCACTGCACTATGGGCAGGGGATGCTCCACCCTAGGCAGAGAAGCCCCCTCTTGCAGCAGAGGAATGCTTCAGCCTGGCTGGGCCCACCACTCCATGACACACATCACCACGAGCCCCCATTAAAGCAATTAACCAGTTAAAACATAACATTGAATTGGTTAAATGGAATTTTACATCCCTAATCCCTAAACCTCTGAATGCCAGAAGCTGGCTTACATGGGATAGTTCACATGGCCACTGTGGGGGGCCCACAAAGCGCAGGACCTGGGGCAGCTGTCCCAAACTGTGC